CTGCTCTGGTGCCTGGCTTCCAGTCCTCTCACCAAGCTTCTTAAACTCAGACCTCATGTTCCTCCCTGGCTCAAAAGGGCCACTAGTGATGTCCACACCCTCATCCAGACACTCAGGTTGTTTGGGACCTGCCACAGGTGCCCCCAGCTCATGTGCCACTGTTAAATCCAGCTCCGGGCCTCTCCCCTCAGTTGCTGCAGAGACACTGCAGGAACTCTGTCTTCCAGTGTCTGTTCCCTGGGAGCCTCGGGCCTTGGAGGAAGGAGGGTGCAGGAATCAGTCTTGCTGGGAGTGTGTGGACAGGACCTTATCCCCATGCAACCCCCAACACGCGGTGTTGGAGGTTAGGGGTGCCTTTCCCGTTGCCTCTTGGGTACTGAACTCTTCCGTGTGCTGCTGAGAGGACTGAATCCAAGTGTGGGATCTATCTGTCATACTGGGTGGTGTGCAGGATCCCAGGTGGGGGCTCAGTGGTGTCTCTCACAGATGTGGATGAGTGTGCCCAGGCCCTGCACGACTGTCGCCCCAGCCAGGACTGCCATAACTTGCCTGGCTCCTATCAGTGCACCTGCCCTGATGGTTACCGCAAGATCGGGCCCGAGTGTGTGGGTGAGTCCAGGGAGCGGCTTCTCTAGTCCCGGCTCTGTGCCCCTGGTCTGGCCCTTGCCCTAGCACCTGACCCCCATTCAACCCAGGCTTCCCCCCACCCCTGTCACCTCTACCCTCCTGTCATCAGACACAGAGGATTGTATGGGGGTGTGTTTGGGGGGTGTCCTGGCTGACCCTGCCCAATTCAGCTCCCTGGACACAGGCAGGATCATGGGTGGTGAAGCCTTGAGTCCCAGCCAGCTTGGGCCCACCTGCTCTCTGCCCTCTTTCTGCCTCTATCCCAGACATAGATGAGTGCCGCTACCGCTACTGCCAGCACCGCTGTGTGAACCTGCCTGGCTCTTTCCGCTGCCAGTGCGAGCCGGGCTTCCAGCTGGGACCTAACAACCGCTCCTGTGTGGGTGAGGCTGGGCCGGGCCAGGCTCCTGGGTCCTGCGCAGGGAGGTGTGAGATGCGGGTGCTCCCTCCTTGACCAGCCCAGGTAGAGTGGGAGCTCTGGGCCGCTCCTCGGCTTTCACAACCTTCTGTTTCTCCTGGCACCCCCAGATGTGAACGAGTGTGACATGGGGGCCCCATGTGAGCAGCGCTGCTTCAACTCCTACGGGACCTTCCTGTGTCGCTGCCACCAGGGCTATGAGCTGCACCGAGATGGCTTCTCCTGCAGCGGTGAGGGCTGTACGCCTGCTGTGTGCTCCTCTGTGGGTCCCCAGGCCCTACCTGTGCTGTGCCTCCTGCCACACAGTCTCCATCTGAGGCCTCCGAGTCGAGTCACTGTGCATCCAGCTGCCTCCTGGGTACTCCACCCTGCTGGCTGTGGAGCACTGCCAGGCTGGTGGGAAGGCACAGGGAGAGGCAGCGAGGTCCCTACTGAAGCCCACTGGGAGAACAGATGTGGGCGCCACTCTTCCCTCGTGTCAGGCTCACCTGCATTTGAATTTTGCAGTAGGACAAGTCACTCTTCTCCAAGCCTGTTTCTTCTATAAAATGAAGTGTCTTGAGGGTTAGATGAGCCAGTGTGATAGAGGGGCTCCAGCAAGTCTCAAGCCGCAGTGCTTGAAAGTGAATGAACTGCCACTTAATGAGACCCTCCCCTCTCGGTGTATTCCCTGACATACTTGGCCTCCTTCCTCTCAAGAATCCTAGGAGGTATGGTTTTTTTCCTTCCTCTACAAAATGAGGACATTAATATCTCCCTCCACATTTGTTGGGAGGATTACATAAAAATAAGCACAAAATCCTGGGTAAATGGTGACTTTCATTATTCAGCTAAGAGAAGTTAATGACCTGACCAAGTTCATACACCCAGGATGAGATGGGGCCAGGGCTCCATCCCAGTCTTCTCTCACCCCGTGAACTGGCATGCACCTTCTATGTTATGCTTTGCTGCGGGATGAGGCATCATTGCTATGTGGCAGCATGAGGGGAACAAGAGAAGGGATATGGTCTGCCCGTGCAGCTCACAGTTGGCTGGAGGTGATCACTGGGTGCTCGGGCTGATTGTGGGCTGCAGGACTTGGGCAGGTTACAGCACAGGCCTGGCCCACACATCTCATCTAGTCTAATCCACCCATTTTACTGATTGGGAAAGTGAGATTCCCCCAAATCAGCTGGTAGGATTCACACCCAAGTCTCTAGATTCCCAGTGCTTTTGTTTAGTGCTTTCTTCCAGTCCTGGGCAGAGAGGTCTGTGAGCTGGGGCAGCCTGTGCAGAGCTTTCTCTGAACCCTCCATCTTCCTGCTGAGCCTTGCAGGACTCGTCTCATCCCCCTGTCTCTGCATTCAGCCTAACATGGGGCTGGGCCCTCTTAGGAAATGTTTGTGGGACTGAATGGTGAGGACTGCCCTTGACCTGGGGTCCCCATCCCCCTGCTTCCTCAGATATTGATGAGTGTAGCTACTCCAGCTACCTCTGCCAGTACCGCTGTGTCAACGAGCCAGGCCGCTTCTCCTGCCACTGCCCACAGGGCTATCAGCTGCTGGCCACACGCCTCTGCCAAGGTACAGGTTACCCGGTGGGATGGGCAGGACAGTGTCAGGAGCTAGCAGCCTGACGCCCTGGATTCCAGCCCCTCTCCCCTGGCACAGACATTGATGAGTGTGAGTCGGGTGCACACCAGTGCTCCGAGGCCCAAACCTGTGTCAACTTCCATGGGGGCTACCGCTGCGTGGACACCAACCGCTGCGTGGAGCCCTATGTCCAGGTCTCTGACAAGTGAGTCATTTCAGTGCCTGGCTCCCACAGAAACTATGTCTCCCAGGGGGCTTTGGGGCTGACTGGCATCTATTTGGGCCAGTGAGTGCCCTTGAGGGCTGATGGGAATTGTAGTCCTCCATGACAACCAGTCACAGGGGTGGGAGGATCCTTTTGGGATTTCTTCCCTTTGTAGGGTAGGTGAAATTGGTGGTGGTGGCGGGGGTGGGGGGGACAGGCAAGGACCTCATTTGTGTTCCCCACCTTGGGGTCTCTAGCCGCTGCCTCTGCCCAGCCTCCAACCCTCTGTGTCGAGAGCAACCTTCGTCCATCGTGCACCGCTACATGACCATCACCTCAGAGCGGAGCGTGCCCGCCGACGTGTTCCAGATCCAGGCGACCTCCGTCTACCCTGGCGCCTACAATGCCTTTCAGATCCGTGCGGGAAATTCGCAGGGGGACTTCTACATTAGGGTAAGGCTTCTGCACCCTCAACTGACATGCACTCTAGGAAGCTTTAAGTGGGTACTGGGCCAGGCTATGCCCCGCCTCTCCTCTCAAAGCCCCGTCCCCGGGAGTTGGGGTTTCTGCAGGAAGAGGAGGTATTCAAAATTCTCCTGGTACGGAGAGATGGTTAAATGCAATTGTAACGAAGCACTCGGACCCCGGGGTTTGAATCCCAGTACTGGTTTCCCATATCTAATCTCAATTTCTTCACCCACAAACCAAGGGAATGGTATGTGTAGGGGCCTGGGGTCGGAAAGTCCACTCCTTGCTGGTGGAGCTGTTAAGGTGGGAGGGGCCGGGGATGGGTCACAGTGAGTGGAAACGGCTTGCTCGGGTCTCAGCAGGAGTTTGTCTGGTACCAGCGCTTCTCTTTCTTTTTGAACTTGAATGCTCCAGGCCATTAATGCTCTGGGCACAGAGGCTCAAGCCTATTATCCCAGCACTTTGGGAGGCCAAGGTGGGTGGATCACCTGAGGTCAGAAGTTTGAGACCAGCCTGGCCAACAAGGTGAAGCCCCACCTCTACTACAAATACAAAAATTAGCCAGGCATGGTGGCACGTGCCTGTAATCCCAGCTACTCGGGAGGCTGAGGCAGGAGAATCGCTGGAACCCGGGAGGCGGAGGTTGCAGTGAGCTGAGATTGCACCATTGCACTCCAGCCTGGGGGACAAGAGGGAGACTTCATATCAAAAAAAAGAAAAAAAAAAAGAAAAAAAATCGAATGCTCTGAAGGGAGTCTGCTCACTTTGGGTCACCAAAGATCCCACCACTCCCAAGAGCAACATGTGGCCTTGAATCATCAGTTAGCCTGGGTTAGACAGAACTAGCTGGAAAGGGTGGGAAGAGCCCCAGTGGGAGATTCCTGAGTCGGGGAGCAGAGACGTCAAGGGTGTCAAGGAGCCAGATGACAGCCCGGATGAGAGCCTGGGGTCACAGCCTGGCCAGGGCTGTCTCTCCACCTCACGGCCATGGGGCAGGGAGGCGACACTGGGGCAGAGGCCTAGCACACAGGCTGACACAATAAATATGTCCCCCCACCCACTGCCCTGCAGCAAATCAACAACGTCAGCGCCATGCTGGTCCTCGCCCGGCCGGTGACAGGCCCCCGGGAGTATGTGTTGGACCTGGAGATGGTCACCATGAACTCCCTCATGAGCTACCGGGCCAGCTCTGTACTGAGACTCACCGTCTTCGTGGGGGCCTACACCTTCTGAGGAGGAGGGAGCCACCCACCCGCAGCTCCCCTAGCTGAGGAGCCTGTTGTGAGGGGCAGAATGAGAAAAGCAATAAAGGGAGAAAGAAGGCGTCCTGGTGGCTGAGGTGGGAGGGTCACACTGCAGCAAGCCTCAGGCTGGGGCAGGCTGGCACCTGTGGGGGGCAGGCCAAGTCCACCTAAGTGGGGGGTCTCTGTGTGCTCAGGCCCAGGGGGTCCCATTGACAGGAGCTGGGAGCTCCGTACTACAGGCTTCAGTCACCCCGAGAGCAGAGGAGGTAACTAGGAGGGCGGACTCCAGGCCCTGGCCCCGAGATCTGGACTTGGCTGCTTTGCAGGGGTCCTGAGAAACTCTACTCTGGATAGTGTCAGGAGGCCCTGGGTTCCAGTCCTAACTCTGTCTCAAGCTGTACATTTTGATAAATCCTAGTGGTTCTCTGGGCCTGTTTTTCTATAAAATGAGGCAACTGGACTGTTAGTGGCTTTTGAGCTTTTCTTTTAGAAAATTTTATTTTTATTAATTTTATTTTCCCAGCAAGTTTTATTTATTTTCCCTTTGCACTTCTAAGGAAGTTTTATTTGATAAGGACCAACTGAAGATATGAAGTCGATCCAAAGCTGCAATGCCCCACTGACTCCATCTCCCGGACCAGAGAATCCCAGGTCCTAAGCAGCTTCGTTTAAAAACCACTGGACCAGATGGTATCTCTGGTTCCTGCATATTTCACAAGGCCCCCAGGGCCAGGCATCTCCTGTATAGGACATATGGCTGCAAACACTTAGATTCTAATTGTACCCCAAACGATGCTGGCTGAAAGGCTGATTAGCCTGGGTGGGCAGACAGATGGGAGCTGGGGGCTGCTTCGTGGCATAAGCTCAGGTGAGGGGGCTGTAGCTGCAGTAGAGCTGGGACAAAGTCCTGCTCAGAGCAGGCCCCAGGTTCCTGCAGGATGAGAGGCAGTGAGGGTCACGCCCTGGGCCTAGGGCAGCCCCGGCCCCCCACTCCCTCCAGGTTGTGCCTCTTGTCCTCACCTCTGCAGACGCCCACACTTGATGGTGCTCAGTAGTGTCTCTTGTTCCTTGGGGGTTGCACAGGCATCATAGGCGGCCAGGAGGCTGGGGGGCAGGGGTTTGAGTTTCTGAGGCTGACAGTGGTCCACACCAGGCCAATACCATGAGGGGCCAGGCAGAGGGGTCAGCATGGGATAGAGGATTCAGGCCACTGCCCCACTTCCTGAGGCCAGCACACAAGGCCCCACACCAGCCTGCCTATCCTCCCTCCCTGTGGGAACTCTGAGGCAAAACCAGCAAGGGCTCCAAACTGTCACGCTCACTACCCTTAATGGCTCAGCCCCCTTCTCTAGGGAGCCTCTGCTCCACCAGGTGGGATGTCTCCCTCCCTCCTGTGGCCTCCACTGCCTGGTGTGGGCCTGCTGGCTTCCTCCCCATTTGACCTCCACGAGCACCCTGGACTTCAGCCAGATCTGTCCATCTCTGGGTCTGCACAGCCCATACAAGGCATGGATTAAGGTGAATTCCATGCATGGAGGGCAGGGGCTGAGGACACCTAAGGGCCCTCGGGGGCCTACCTGGCAGGGGTGCTGTATCGATCTACCAGGGCTGCTGCCTTCTCCCCACTCACTCCACGCACCTGCATCAGCTGCCGGGCAAACACTTCTCGCACTGACTGGGCCTGGGTTTGGGGAAGGGCTGGATCAGGGGTGATCTGGGCCAGGCCCTGTCAGGGAAGCAGGGAAGAGGCAGTACCTTGTTCTTGATGGCTCCTGCGTTGAAGTCACTGAAGGTGAGGAGTGAGCAGAGAGGGTTTGGAGAGGGCATGGCCCCTGATTCAGGGTTCCCAGGGGTTCCCCAGGGGCGGCTGCGTAGGGTGTGGCCCTGAGGGAAGAAGGAACTGAGGCCGGGCTGGAGCTCGAAGGGACAACTCCAGCCAGCTCTTGCCCAGTCCTCAGCCTCAGGGGTTCAGCCTGAGAAATGGGGATCTCACCCACCTTGCTTCTCTTGGGGACGCACAGGCAAGGCAAATTCCTTGCGGGCCCTGCTCACCTGGTAGAGTCTCTGCAAGCCCCGTGTCAAGAGGGCCAGGTAGGCGGCTGACTCCTTAATGTCTGCTGTGCGCTTCACAAAAAAGCCATCAATGACCTGGGAAAGAAGACCCAAGAGAGGGAAGGTGGCTCCTGGCCCAGACCATGACTCACAGACCACAGGGCCCCCTGCCTGCCTCTGCCCTCCCAATTCACCTGAGTGTTGGTGACAGCCTGTAGCAGCGTGCTCTCTGGAAGGCTGAGGTTGTGGACTGAGCCATGCTCTTCCACCAGGTATACCCGGCGCTCCAGGCCGCAGCGCTTCAGCCGGAACTGGGGAAGTGGACAGAGTAGGCAGGGAGGGTCCGTCCGGCTGGATGCCCATGTGCCTGGGCATCCATCATGTCACACTCAAAATGGTGCTGTGACCCTGGTCCCAGCAGTTAGCCTCCGAATCCTCCCTGGCCTCTCCCCCTGCCTCAGAGGGGCCTCTGTGGCTTTGTTCGTACTGACACTCTTGCCTAGAAAGCCCTTCCTCCACCTCTGAACACTGCCCATCCTTCAAGCCTGCCCTGGGCCTGTACATGGTATCTGTGACTATGGGGTCTGCCCAGCAGCAAGTACCAAGGTACAGCGCCTGTATTTCCAGTCCTGGAGAGTTGAGCCTTGTTTATCCAAGACCGAGGAACTGGATACCCAAGGGATCTTTGATCTGCTCCTGAGCTCAGACCAAGAATGCAGGTACCCTGCCTTCCTACTGTGCGCCTGGATGGGCCTGTGGGCGTCTAATCCTGGAGCAGCCATAGGGTGGGTGTGGCTGGAGTCCAAAGGGCTCTGCCTCAAGGAGGCTGCCAGAAGTGCTCCTGGATTGCTCTGGCCTGAAAAGGGGGCCCCAGAGCAGGCAGGGAGCCTGGCAAAGCCAGCGAAGTTACCTTCTGCTCCCGGAAGCGGCCGTCAATGATGCTGCTGCACAGGTCATCCAGCCGCTTGCGCTCCACGACGTGGTCCAGCACCAACTCCGCAGGGCTTGCTGCTGAGGAGCCAGGAAGGGTTCCGTTAGCTTGCCATGCCCCACCCACCAGGCCCTGCCCCTGGCGCTGGCCTGTCCATGGCCCTTCACCTGGATCTCTAGGATTGGTCTCCTGTGCCACCCACACAAAATCCCCAACATGCAGCTTGCGCACCGTGTGGGTCACGTGCAGCCGCTGTAGCTCTCGGAGCAGCTCTGGCCTGTGCCCTGCCCTGGAGTGGCAAGGAAGGAAGCCTAGATCAGGGCAGGGCCGGGCAGTGCCTACCCCCCCCCAGCTTCCTCCGATAGTCTCTGTTTCTCCCCACCTCACTCACCCCCGGGTCTCGCCGGTGTCCACACACAATAGTACCCTGTATTCTCCAGGCCTCAGCTCTAGTGGCGGCTGCTGGACCCCCGCTTCACTGGCACTAAGTGGGGGTGGTGTGTGAGGCCAGAATCCCTCATGCCAGGGCAGTGCCCTGTACCCACACCACCCACCACCCAGCACCTACCACCCACCCACAGCAGGGGGCGGCCACAGCTCAGCTGCAGGGTTTGGCCTCATTTCCCATCCCCTTCTCCCTGTTTTCCCCTCTTTCCCCCTCCTCCTCACAGCTCTGCTGAAGCTGCTCCTGGCACTGCTGTCTCCTCCCCAGGGGGCTCCTCGGGCCTGATGCCCACATTCAGCAAGCTCAGGCCTTCCGATTCAGCCAACTTCTGGGCCAGCTCCAGGCCCTCTGGGGTCAATGAGTACCTGGGAAGCAGAGGGGACAAACACAGCTCTCCCTTTTTCACTCATTCCTGGCAGGCTCTCCTGCCTGCCCCCAGCTGGGCTAGCCTCACTGCCCCCTTGGCGCCCTGCACAAATGACCCCAGTGGCTCCAGCTCCTCCCGGTCTTCTTGGCTTTTAGAGCAGTTCCTTGGACCTGCTCAGTGCCATTCTCAGGTCTGCAATAAGTCAGTCGGGGACCTGATTTCCTTTCTCCCGTCTTTGCTAATGCTGTTTCCTCCTCCTCAGAATACTTATCCTGCATCTCTACCTGCCAAATCCTGAAATGTGTCAAATACCATCTCCTCCGAAAAGGCTTTCTACTCCTTCAAAACCCATGGTGCCCTCCCACTCCCACTGTTGCACGGTTGGACTGTTCTCTCCAGGTACCCTCCAGGTATCCCACAGTGGGAGCTCCTGAGGGAAGGCCCACGTCCCCCAACCTCAACAGCATCAGCTCTGGGAGTTGTTGGGTGATTCTAAGCCCCCATGAAGAAGGTCATGCACGCTCTCCCATCCCTGCCTCCTGTATCTCCTGCAGTTGGCCCCACCTGGCTGGCTGGTGTGTCCTGAGGACCAGGTTCCTGTGGAGGAGGGAGCGGAGGGCTGGCCAGGGTCGAGCTCTCCCAGGGGCTACCTGTGGATCGGAAAAGAGACCCTCAGAGAGCACCTGTTGCCACCATGAGTCCATGTTCCCTGTGTCCCCAGCCATGAGCCATACATGTGCCCATTGCAAGAAAGGGCAGTCTTTGGTGGGCTCCAGAGCTGCTTGGCCTGTCCTCCCTGACCCCTGTGCTCACCTTGGGGGCCTTCTGAGCACACCTCTGCAGCAGCTCCTCCTTGGTTAAGAACTGGTGGCCATTAGGATTCTGAAACCATGGTAGAAGAGACAGGGTAGGCTCAGTGCCAGGGCCCTTCCTCATCCTTCTCAGGTGGCTGGGATAATCTTTGTCTTGTCCTGGCCAGGCATCTCTGGGAACCTCCCACCCCACTGCCTTGGTTCCACCTCCTGGTGTAGCTTAGTGCTCACCAGGTGCTCCTGGTAGAGCAGCAACAGTATTACTCGAGCTCCTGAGTGCCGAGCTGGCCAGTAGCTGCCAGAGCCTCCCACTTTGGGCTGGGCAGGAACCTGAAAGGAACAGAGGAGCTCTGAACATGAAAGCCAGCCAGTCATCTTCCAGTAAGTCCCTGGCAGGGCTGAGGTTTCACAGGCTTCGTGGCACTGGGTAAGTCACTCAGTTGAGTCTCAGTTTCCTTCTCTAAGATGGGCCAGGTGATGCGATGACCCCCTGCAAATCTGGGATGAGACAGTAGGCAGTTTGGGGCAGCTGGTGGGGGTGTATGCCCAGCCTGGCCTCAGGCCTATGACGCGGGGCAGGACAGGAGTGATTAGACAGGAAAACTGAATGACGATGACCCTGTAACTAACTGAGCCGCGCTCCCTAAGTAGCTTGATCATGGAATTCTCTCATTGGCTGTTACCAATATTCCCATTCACAGGTTAAAATACTAAGTATAAAAGAGGTTAAGTCATTTGCCCGAGGCCAGGCATCGCTAGTGAGATTTGGACTCAGGCTTGCCAAATCCCCCAAGCCAGGAAATCATACTCCCGCACTCCCACTTTGCCTTCCACTCCCCTTGCCCCTTGCTCACTGGCATGGAAGAGTCCTGGACTTCTGCAGGTCGCCCCTGCGGTGCTGGCCTGTTCTGTCCAGATGGTGAGCCTGGGGCATGGTCACCTGCGGGAGCAGAAGAGAGTCAACTCCGCAATCCATGGAATCCGACAGCGGCGAGGGTCTGGGATGCAACCTGCTCAGATGGTACGTGAGACCGGTGAGGGTGGCTCAGGGAGCGCCAGCCACTAGCTCGAGGCCGAACAGCAACTTGGACGGGAGTGGGGAGCCTGAAGCCAAGGGATCCCAGGTGAGTACGGAGGCTGCACCTGGGGGAGGCAGGGGATCACCGACCCCTTTCCGAGGCGCTCACCGCCCGATGTTTGGTGCCGCTGCAGCCGCTCGTCCAGCATCCGGCAGAGCCCGTCTCCGAAGTGCTGCAGAATCTTAGCTTCCTTCCCGCTGCGCAGCGGCAGTGGGTACCGCCGGAGGGAGCGCAGCGCCTGGCGGGGCAGGGGTAGGGTACCCGGTCAGGGCAGGCCTTGACCTGGCCAGCAGCTGTTCCCATCGGGCCGCGCAAGGACCCACCTTCTGAAACACGAAGCGCGTGCGGCGCCCGCTGCGGGTCGCCTCGTCCCGCCACTCGGTCAGCCAGCGAACGAAGAGCGGGTTGGGACAGGCAGGCAGCGGGCGCTTCCGACCCAGGCGGACGGGTGCCGCCATGAGCCCGAGGGCGGGTCCTCCGGCGGGACTGGGACGCCGCCAGTTCTGGAGTCGGGATTCGAACACCTGGTCCGGGGCAGGGCGGCAGAAGAGGGGAGCTGAGGGCAGGACCGCTGAGATCACGGGCCCTCCTACGCAAGGGGCACTAACGAGAGAACCTGCCCTCCCGCCCCTGCGCTGCTCCAAGCGGTTGGTGCGCGGGTTGTCTCTAACAATATTTCGCCTCGGCCCCGCTCCGGCCAGGACCTGCCTTAGGGACGCGCTCCACCCCAGCCCCCGGAACCTGGACCTGCTCCTTCCAGTCGCCTCAGATTCGAGAGCGGGGTCATCTTTGTGTAGGTTAGAGGAAGGCGGACAGCGCCCCCTGTGACGGGGGAGGACTGGCTGGGCGGTGCTTAAGGGCCCAACCTGAACTTGGCCGCTCTAAGGTCTCTAAGATTGTCAGTTTCAGCCTGAGCTTGAAGAGGAGGCTGGAGATGGAGACTGGGCTTGAGGAAGAGTCCAGAAGAGGCGGGGGCTGGGAAACAAACGGGTGCAAACATACCGGTGGGAGGGACACCCAGAAAGGGGCGGAGGGGATGAGGCCACAAAGGTAAGGCAGGAGGAGCTGCAGCACCCCTGGAGGAAACGGTGGCCTTTATCCCCGGGGTACAGGGCAGAGTGCGCGGTGGGGAGAAAGTCGGGGACGTGCCGAGAAGGCCCAAAACAGGACATTGGGGGTCGGGGGCCAGAGGCCCTAGTGGAAGGAGAACTGTAAATTAAGAGGTGCCTGGGCACCTTGGCAGTTGGGGAGACCTGAGGTGGTCACGTGGTTGGGTTCGGGGGCGGGGGGAGCAGGCGGCGGGTTAAGACGCCCGAACACAGGTAGACGGGAGAGCACTTCGTCGTTTTTGCGGCCAGTCGGATGTGGGAGACCCTCAGGGAGGTTGCAGATGGAAACCCTACAAAGGGTTTCAACCTGACAATGCCGAAGGACACGTATAGCTGAGTCGGACGCAGGCGACTCGCCAGGGTTTGAAGCAACACCCGGCCTCTAGCTGTTATGCCGGAAGTCGCGAGACGCGGATCTCGAGCCCGCGAGGAAGAGAGAGGTGGGCGCCAGCGCTCCAGGCCCGCCCCTCCGGATTCCGCCAGCCCGCTCCGGCTCCCGCCTCCCTCCCGCCGCGGCCTTATAAGGAGCCCGAAGCCGGCTGTCGGGCTGGCCCCGCCCCCTCGAGTCTCTTGTCCTAATAAGGACATGTAGGGCATCTCGCGGCTAGGGGCGGGCAGGAGCGCGTCTCCAGGGTAACTGCGAAGCCCCGTCCCCCTCCTCGTTGCTCTTGGAAACAAGTCTTAAGACTCGAGAAAGGTGGCGCTAGCCTCGTCTTCAGGCAGGGGCGCTCGCGGGAGATGGGGGTCAAGCTGCAGTCTTCACCTGGTGCGCTGGGAGCCCGGGGTGGCGGGCGGTGCTGTGGAACGTCCCCGACTACAACCCCCGGCATGCTCCGCAAGGTACCCCACTTCCAAACATCGCTCTCCGTTTACCACCTTAATTTCGATTATGGGATGAAGGCCCCCCAGGTCCGTTTCTGGGTTTGACTCCGACTTGTTGGCGACCCAGTCTTCTGTTCCTGAGCGTGAGGCTGTGGTCACTGTTCTAGGACAAGGAAATCATCCCGGAGTCCCCCGCTCGTTTCTTTTTTAAGGGAATATACGACCACAGAACTTGTCTCAGCTTTACAGGTGTTAGAAGAGCAATATGCCTGGCTATAAATTCGAGAGTTGGGTTCAAGTCTGGTTTCGTATCTGTTCCTTTTCACTGGCACGTAAAAGGCACCTAAAGAGGCCTTGAATTGAACGCACAATTCCTCGTCTTTACCCATTATCGCCTCATGACTTTGCCAAACATCTTTAAACAAGAACAGAGCTCTCGCCGGGCGCGGTGGCTCACGCCTGTTATCCCAGCACTTTGGGAGGCCGAGGCGGGCGGACCACAAGGTCAAGAGATCGAGACCATCCTGGTCAACATGGTGAAATCCCCGTCTCTACTAAAAATACAAAAAATTAGCTGGGCATGGTGGCGCGTGCCTGTAATCCCAGCTCCTCAGGAGGCTGAGGCAGGAGAATTGCCTGAACCCAGGAGGCGGAGGTTGCGGTGAGCCGAGATCGCGCCATTGCACTCCAGCCTGGGTAACGAGCGAAACTCCATCTCAAAAAAAAAAAAAAAAAGAACAGAGCTCTCAGAGATTTCCTTGTAGCCTTTCCCCTGTGCCTTTTTCTCCTATTTTTATTTTACTGACGTTGCACATGGCCTTTTTTCAGAAGACGAGAGTAGCTTTGCACATGCAGAGTACTAGTGTTTGTCGGCCTGACGTCTTCATACTTGTGATTTTCTTTGCTTAAGGACGGGATTCCAGACTAATCAATAGTTGCTTCAATTCAGAAAAGCAAAACCTTAACCTTACTCAAAAATTTCAGACCAAGGAATCCAGATAATATCAGATGGGTCTTAAGAAAGCCTTGATGCTGCGGGATAAAAAGCCGCTTAATCCGGGATCGTTTTCGGGTCATTTTACTGAGCGCCGCCTCGCAGGACTCAGAGCAGTTCCTGTTAAATTGGACCAATGGGCTCGCGCTGCGCTCTGCGGCCCTGCCCGCGGCCCGGGCCTACATTTCCCCGCATGCACTGCGGCGCGGGGCCGGCCGGCGGTAAGACTCCGTTACCCAGCGAGCGCGGCGGCGGCGCAGGGCCCTCGGACTCCATTTCCCGTCGGCCCGCGGAGGGAGCGGCGGAAGCCCGCCCCGCCCCTCATTGTGCGGCTCCTACTAAACGGAAGGGGCCGGGAGAGGCCGCGTTCAGTCGGATCCCGGCAGCGGCTGCAGCGCTCTCTTCTTCTGCGGCTTTCCGTGCCCTCTCCTTTTCGCTTCCGGAAACATGGTGAGCGGCAGGCCACGGCGCCCGAGGGAGGCGGCTGCGGGTCGGTCGCCTGCGCGCGGGAGGCGACGTGGGAGCGATGTCCGCACCCCCTCCCCCAGCGCCCCGGGCGGGATGAGGGTCTCGCACGGAGGGGCGGGCGGTACCGGAATGCGCGTGCGCGCCCGGGGGCGCCGGCCTGGACGTCGCTCGCGCGCTCCCTGGGCTCCTCTCCCCTCCCCCACCCGCTGGTGCGCCCGCGCGGACGGACAGCGGTCGCGGGGGGAGGGGTCTGGGGCGCGCGCCGGCGCGCCCCTCGCGGAACGGCCAGCGTCGTGCGTTGTTTCTTAGGGGCGCGCGCTCGACTGGAGCACGCGGCGTCCAAACCCGGCCTGGGGGCGGCGAGGGAAAAGCGCGCGAGAGATTTCGGCGCGCGCGCCCCACCCAAGGCTGTTCCTGTCTCCGCGTCACCCTCCCTCGGCAGCCGGGTCCGTCTCAGGAGCAGGTGGCAGAGATGCCTGCGCCGGGGAGGGGCGAGCGCTGTCGCGGCGAGGGGGGATGCTGGGACAGCAGAGTCCTGGTTGGGGCATGGGTGCCTGCGATTAGGGCCTTGCACCGCAAGGCTTGGAGGGGGCATCGCAGAGACTGTGGCCGGCTCTGGAGCGCACCCCATCGAGCTGCGTTCTCACCCGTGCATCGTGCGAGGGCTGGAACAGCGCTGTCCGCCGGCGCGTGCGCGCACTCTCAGGCCCAGCCGCCGGCGTTGAAGCTCTGGGCGAGAGGGGCCTTCCCGGATGGGCCTGAGGGTGGAGCCGAGTTTAGGGAAGTGACCCAGGCGGGCACCGCCCGGAAACCATCCCGCCCCCTGCATACGGCCGGAGGGCTGGGAAAACCGAAGGTTGTGTAGCTTGCCCAGGCTCCTGCCTGCCGCAGATGGGTCTGATTTGCCCGTTGGTTAAGGCGATTCCACAGGGTTAGGGACCTGTAGGTGCTGCTGCCTTTAGGGTACGCGTTTGTCTACTGGGGAGGGGGCCGAGCCTAGCCGATCTCTTTTCCCCGCCCACTCCGGAAGCGGCTGGGTCACGTGGCAAGTTTCCTCTGCAGTTCCGGGGAGTTCGGGGGAGCAGATTTACCGTGGTCAGTCCCTCAGTCTCCTGTTTCGGGCACCCCGAAGCACGGTGCAGAGTAGGAGTTTAAAGAGCTCTTGAGGCCTCTGGACACTTGAGTTTGGCATGTCAATTTCTACCAGCGACTTCTGGGGCCCATTCCCAGAAGAAATAAGCTGTCGGGCAGGGTCCTTAGTGGGGGTTGTGATTCTTGTTTTGGTTGGGAAAGACTAGCAGGGAACAGGCGTCGTTTGTGTAATAACTGCATTAAGCAGTTCTGGTGGATTTGTTGGAACTGTTCAGTGTCCCTGGGTTCCATCTAGCATTGTGGGTTCTCGGCTCTTTCTGAAGAGGAGTCTTGCTTCGGGTATTTGGGTCCTCCTGTCTGTGAAGTTCGAGGTCACCACTTTTACCTAAAGGCTGAGAGCAAATACTGTGAGTAGCCAGTGGATCTTTTAATTTTGGGTCCACATCTCGGTAAATGCTCTGCTTTTCACGAGTTTACTATTTCCTGTAAAATAAGGGGAGGGGTTGCTGAACTAGGTTATCAGAAGCCATGGCTGCCGTACAGGGTTTGTGTCCCTTCCTGGTTCTTTGACAGTGGCCTGGGTTGGGAACACCAGTAAGTTGCCCTGGGAAGGGCACTAGGGCCGGGCGCAGACTGAGAACTGAGAAAACAAGGGGCAATTTCCTAGAAGCTTTTTTTTTGAGGAGGGATATGTGGCATGTCTCCTAGGCCTCTGGTGTGGCTGTCTCTGATGGAGTCATCAAGGTATTCAATGACATGAAGGTGCGTAAGTCTTCAACGCCAGAGGAGGTGAAGAAGCGCAAGAAGGCTGTGCTCTTCTGCCTGAGTGAGGACAAGAAGAACATCATCCTGGAGGAGGGCAAGGAGATCCTGGTGGGCGATGTGGGCCAAACTGTCGATGACCCCTACGCCACCTTTGTCAAGATGCTACCAGATAAGGACTGCCGCTATGCCCTTTATGATGCAACCTACGAGACCAAGGAGAGCAAGAAGGAGGACCTGGTGTTTATCTTCTGGTGAGCTCTTCTTCATCCTGGCACTTCTTTCTATCACCTTCCCCCTTTCTCATCTGTAGCTCCAGAGGTGTGGGTTTGGGGTAGAAGTTGTAACAAAAGACTCCTCACTGCCAGCCCAAGGGTTTCTCAAAGTCACCTATGGCTTTGCTGTTGCTGTGAGTTGCCTGATGCATCTTTCTGTTCAGGGCTCCTGAGTCTGCGCCCCTTAAGAGCAAAATGATCTATGCCAGCTCCAAGGACGCCATCAAGAAGAAGCTGACAGGTAAGGGCCAGCATTGATAACTGAGTGCCCTTCTGCTCTGGCCTTGGCTGCAGGGTAGGGTGAATGGCATTCAGAGGGGGTCTGCCCCCTTGTCTTCACGGCCTGCTTGTTCCTTCCATCTGCTTTGATTGGCTCATTCCCCAGCACAGAAACTTTCTGCCCCCACCCCGGTGCTTCCTGCTCACAGATGCTCCCCCTTCTTCCTTACAGGGATCAAGCATGAATTGCAAGCAAACTGCTACGAGGAGGTCAAGGACCGCTGCACCCTGGCAGAGAAGCTGGGGGGCAGTGCCGTCATCTCCCTGGAGGGCAAGCCTTTGTGAGCCCCTTCTGGCCCCCTGCCTGGAGCATCTGGCAGCCCCACACCTGCCCTTGGGGGTTGCAGTCTGCCCCCTTCCTGCCAGACCGGAGGGGCTGGGGGGATCCCAGCAGGGGGAGGGCAATCCCTTCACCCCAGTTGCCAAACAGACCCCCCACCCCCTGGATTTTCCTCCTCCCTCCATCCCTGACGGTTCTGGCCTTCCCAAACTGCTTTTGATCTTCTGATTCCTCTTGGGTTGAAGCAGACCAAGTTCCCCTGAGGCCTCCCAGTTGTCGGGGGAGCCTGTATTTTTTTTTAACAACATCCCCAATCCCCACTTGTTCCTCCCCCTTCCCATGCTGCCAACTTCTAACCGCAATAGTGACTCTGTGCTTGTCTGTTTAGTTCTGTGTATAAATGGAATGTTGTGGAGATGACCCCTCCCTGTGCCGGCTGGTTCCTCTCCCTTTTCCCCTGGTCACTGCTACTCATGGAAGCAGGATCACTAAGGGACCTTCGATTAAAAAAAAAAAAGACAATAAAAAGACTCATTAATGAGATGTGTGTTTCAAGGTTGGGGCCCAGGAGACCTTAGGGAAGTGGGGTTCACTGGGAAAATGGTACTCTCTCTGTTCTCTGTACCCCATGCCCAGCCAGCCCCTACACACCCTTATCTGGCTTGTGACTGGCTGAAATGCTCTTCCGATGTTCACCATTATTTCTGTTGGTGCTGTGGTTGACACCAGACTGGCTGTTGAAGGAGTGGGTGTGTCGGCTGCTGGCTACAGGGGTTCTCCAGCAGAAGTGACTTAGGCCTGAATTGGCTGCTCTGTAGCTTTGCCTGGTTAAGCAGTGAGGTCCATCTGATAACTCTGTTCTGTCCCTGCCTGGGTGTGGGCTGATAGGCACGTCACAGGTATCTGTAAGGTTCCGTTTGGTCTGTCTGCCCTGGATGGCTGACTCAAATTTATGAGGGTCAGGTCCAGCAGCTGCTGTGAGTAAGAGGCCAAGTTGAGCCTTTGACCTGTAGATGTGGCTGGAGTCCGTTGAGGGTGGGGCCACCCAGGTGGAGCCCAGGACTTCAGACCCAGGTGTCTTAAGCACCGCCTCCCTATGTTTAACCAAAAGGGTGTTGCTGGTGCCTTTTGCCAGCATTGCTATGGGCTGTTTTCCAGCTTGTACTTTGGGCTTTCACCTGCCCAGCAGGCAAAAGACATCCAAGAAGTCTGGCCCTAGGGGTGAGGTGAACTTGGAGTGCTAATGTGAGGTCTATATATCCTCCCTAGTCACCTGA